CCTTTCTGGGCTGTAGCAGAGGCCATCACAAAGTCCTAGCCTGAAAGGAATCTTTAAGAGTACTCTGGGTTTTGTTTGTTTGTTTGTTTTGTTTTTTGTTTTTGTTTTTAGGGGGGATAGAATTTTTAGACCACCCTTCATTTTTAAATGAAATGAAGATTTCATTTGTGTGATTATATCTCTTGACCAAATATTAGAAACTTAACCCTGAGAATATTCCTCTTTAACATAAGAATGTGCAAGGCCACATCTCATTAGCCATCAGAACAGCAACGTCACTATTTACCAGAAGGTCACTAGGTCACTATCCATTCATAAACTTGTGAGAATGAAGTCAACCAACAGCTTTCATATATATATACCTCATAGCATCCTTGGATAATCTTGGAGATTCTGTGGAGATCCCCAGGTGACATTCTGAGAACCACTACTCTAGAAGGTGTGCTGACAGCCAAAACTTGTTGCACATTGGGATTGTGTGGCTTGAGATAGCCACTGACCCAATAAGTAGGAAATTTCACAGTGGGAGAGTTATAGATGAGTGATCTGTAGCTATAGTTATAGTGATGCGAGCAGGGCTTCAAATCCACGTGTTCATTGTGGTCCGACTAGCTCAATGCTCACACCTCCGCACAGTCTAAATGCTGGAAGTAGAATGGCTGATTGCTAAGAATGACTATCTCTGGGTTAAAGAAATATATGCGTGTGTGTGCACACGTGCACACGCATGTGTGTTTGTGCATGTGTGTTTCTGAATTTTCAAATTATTTTCCTAGGATATCTGCTATGAGGTAATATCTTCTTTTTCAAAAATGGACTTGAAGTGGATGGTGGGTTTAGGAAGAGTTGGGGTGGAATGGAGAGTGAATAGGATCAAAATACAAAGTATAACATTTTCAAGAATTTAATAAAATATATTTAAAATTATTTTCTTCACTATTTTTATTGTGATAAAAAGTTTCCACTTAATCATCCTTAACTGTACACTCATAAAATCCTGAAAACATCATTATTGTCCTTCTTCATAACCCTTTATTTTGTAAAAACTGAAACTTTCTATGCTTCAATAATAGCTCTCTGTTTCTCCATTCTCCCTGCCTTGGGGAACCGAGTTCTTTCGTAATAAGTTTCTCTGAATAATCCCTTTATACCAGGCATTTGTGAAAAGTGTAGATGATTCCCAAGCTACTGTGGTGGCACCATCATTTACCAAAAATTCATTTCCACCATCGGCTCACAGTTTCACTAAAAGGTAGTTGATACGGTGGTTCACAGGGTGAGCTCCAGAGCAGGTCTGCACAAATTGTTATTCTCTCTTGAGACAGAGGCTTGCTGTGTAACCCATTCTGTCCTGACATTCACTTTAGAGAGTATACATTGGCTTCTGTTATGGGTACCAGTATGCAGTGAGAGCATAGTGTTTTTAAATCTATGGAAAGATACAGATGAGAAAGATACCCTGTTGAGCATCTGGAAAACATGTAAAGCTTTAGAGAAGAGGGGCATCTGGAGAACTGGTTATGGTAGTGATGATGAGGGAAAGAAAGACTGACAGTCAGGGCTCTGTGGAGAAACAGAAACGTGTGTGTATGCGTGCATGAGTGTGTGCATATGTGTTTGCATGCGTTTGCATGTGTGTGAGAGTGTGTGCATGAGCATGTGTATGTGTGTGTGTGTGTTCATGCATGTGGGCTGTGTGTGGGGAAGCTTGTGTGAAGCAGCTTTAAAATAATGTGGCATTACTAGATATATGCTATTTTGTGAGCCACCAAGAGAAACACACACACGCACGCACACACACACACACACACACACACACACACACACACACACACACACACATCTTGTCAGAATAACTCTCATTGATATGTAGAACTCACCCTTTCCATATTTGTGCAAAACGTGCATGTCATTGAACATATCAAATGTCATGTGATATAAAGTTATTTGTTTTAAATATTGCCTTTCGAGATATTGTATTAGTCAGCCATGGGTTCTGTGACTCAGCATGATGATCAAGGCATTTACACAAGGATGTGATAAAGGTTTGCCCCGAGTTTGTGCCCCCATCCTGCCAATAGAAGAAAGGTGGTGGCATGCTTCCTGGAGTAGATGCTTCCAAGCGCTACCCAAACACTCTTGGAGCTCTCCGGCTTTTCTTTGTACCTTTGTTTGCACCATCCAGCACCTGTCCCTCTTTCTCTGGGAATTATTTCCAAGGTGTTAGAGCGGCTTTCCCCTCTATGCAGAAAGCTGCAAGCACCTGTGTTTCAGGGTCACCCTAGGTGCCCTTAGCTGACACTTGACGGGTGTGGAGGCTTGAAAGGGTAGACCCTTGCTTGAGTGAGAACAGCCCTGAGGCATTACTTCTGTCTTAAGTCTGTCTGAAAGACCATGCCGAGGTCTTCCCTTACATTTCAGGTCTTCTACTCAGCAGGGCCCTATCTGACTTTTCCTACCCCCCACTCTTTCCAAAAAGGTGTGCATCTGATTCCTGGTGCAAGGCTGTACTTCTGGGAATTGCTTCCATGGCCTCTTGATCACTCTACCTTATTCAACATTGTCATTTTATCTTTGGAAACATATTGTGATAGTTTCCATGAACAAACAAGACTGAACTTGGGAATTACTGCCAAAGCCATCATTGATTACAAAAAACAAAAAACAAACCAAAAAAAAGATACCATTAACAACTCCAACTCCTTTTATTTTAGAGCCAATGATAGAATATAGAGAAATAGTGAACCAACTTTCATACAGGGAGGAAAAAAATAGAAATCAGGCCAGAGCACTCACACCCCAGTGGGAGCACTGAATGAGGTGGATGAGGGGAAGGCAAAAGCCTTGGGCTCGGACCCATCTGAGAGTGGGCCCCAGCTGCTCCAACAAGCCCTGTGGCCCTGGCTTGTTCATTCCTTTTTGCCTTAGTATTCTCATCTGAAATATGGAGACCTTGTTTTATAGGATTGAAAGCATTTGGAAAAAAATAAGGGTGAACATAAAACGCTTCATACATACCTGATATAGTATTCACGAAACCAAACTGAATTTGTTTTGGTTTTCTTTTTCTTTTCATTTGTATATTTGTTGTGCGCATGTGTGTGTGTGTGTGTGTGTGTGTGTGTGTGTGTGTGTGTGTGTGTGTGTGTGTGTGTGTGTGTGTGTGTGTGTGTGTGTGTTCTCAAGCATGAGTGCACCTGTACATGTGGGAGCTTGAGGTGATGCTGGGAATCTTCTTTGATAAGTCTTCCACATTCTTTTTGAAGCAGGGTCTCTTCCTCCAACCCAGAATTGACCAATATGGCTCATTGTCTAGCCAGCATTATCTCAGGATTCACTGCCCTCCACCTTTGGAGACTGGAGTTACATGCCACCCAGCATTTCCATGGGTCCTGGGGATTTCACACCAGTCCTTTGCTCATGCAGAAAATATATGAACTGCCGAGCCATCTCTCTAGCCCATTGGTTTTCAATGAATTTTGATTTTCAATTAAATCAGACAGGATCCTGGTGCACAGTATGTGTTATACTCTGTAGTTCATTTAGAAACAAAAGAGTACTCCCTGCAGACGAGAATGATGTTTTAAGATGATTGTGAGCCTTGCTAATGGCCACACCTGGTGAGTAAACTTCACTCTCAGAACTACTGCTGTGTTCCAGATGTTGTAATCTGTGGTCAGCTGACTCTGTTGTTTGTAAGGAAGAGAGAACATCATAGAAGTGTGTGCTGGAGTAGAACTGCTCACCTAATGGGAGCTGAAAAGCAGATAGCGGGAAGAAAAGAGAGGAAGCTGGTACAAGGTTACCCCCAAGGAAGTAGTAACCTACTTCCTCCATATAGGATGTGTGTGTGTGTGTGTGTGTGTGTGTGTGTGTGTGTGTGTGTGTGTGTAAGAAACATCACTTCCAATGTGCCATCAAATTATACATCCGCCAGTGTCCACATTCGAGGACAATAGAGACAAAGCTTGGAGGACTTGCAGGTGGAGGTGTGAAGGCATATCACACCAGGCTTTCCTCTTACTATTGGACTGGGGTGAGCTCTGAATGCGAAGGCCTCCACGAAGGCCTCCACAAACAAAATATGTGTTCTAACTCTGTGATTGACTAACTGCAAATTCCCTACAGCTACAGCTGCTCTGGAAAGAGAAATACTTGTGCCTATTTGGAGTGCTTTGGGAATCTTTTGTCAATAGCAGATGTGGGGGGAAGGGAAAAATGCAATTTGACAAGTAGAATGACAGTCTGAGAACTGAACAATTAGTTGTTCAATGCAAGGAAAAAGAGATCAGGGGGCTCTTGCTGGTCTCATCCAGCCATGCCGTCACTGTGAATAGATGTATGCTTTGTGAGTCTATACATGACTGTGTGTCTTGTGAGTCAAGATATAGATCCTTACAGCTTTTTTAGAAATATTTTTTAATATTTCTTAAAGAATTTCTTGCAATGTGTTTTCCTCATAGACTATGATGGGGACAACCTTGCTCTAGGACGTAGTCTTAAAGGAAACTGACCCTGCTTCTCCCAGCAGCTACTAATTACCAACAATAGTCCTCAGCTTGGAACAGGACTTCCTGTCCATCCCTCTGGACCCCACCCCCACCCCCATTTCCATGCTGAGATTTTTTTTTTCTAGCTAGAGCTTGGCCAGGTCTTATGCATGTTGTCACCATAACAGTGATTTCATTTGTGTAGCTGTCCTGTTGTCGCCAGAAAACCATTTTCTTATAGTCATCCACCAGCTCTGGCTCTTAAATCTTTCTACTCTCTGTTCCTTGATGGTCTTTGAGTCTGGGGTGGGGGGCTTCTGAGATTCGATGTTTGTGTTTCAAAAGATGGAAGGTAGTTAGCCTCATGCTCACCTGTGTGCAATCAAAGCAGGAAGAGTGCATTCTGTGTCTGTCTACTGCCATGTGAGATAGTGAAAAGGGCCCAGGGGCTGGGTGGTGGGAAATATAGGGAAAGGAATAATATGCATCTCTCCTGTTTCTTCTGTGCAGCTCTTTTCTGAACCTCAGGTGGATGATGCTCTTTCCGATGAACTGCTGAACACTCTGTGGACACATCCCTGCTGTACCTTGGCCATCAGCTGAGACAAGATGGAAGACTCCTACAAGGATAGGACTTCACTGATGAAGGGTGCCAAGGACATTGCCAAAGAGGTGAAGAAGCAAACAGTGAAGAAGGTGAACCAGGCAGTGGACCGGGCCCAGGACGAATACACCCAGCGGTCCTACAGTCGGTTCCAGGATGAAGATGATGATGATGACTACTACCCACCTGGAGAAACCTACAGCGGGGAGGCCAATGATGACGAAGGCTCAAGTGAAGCCACTGAGGGTCATGATGAAGAGGATGAGATCTATGAAGGGGAGTACCAGGGCATCCCCAGCATGAACCAAGGGAAGGACACCATAGTGTCTGTGGGACAACCCAAAAGAAATGAGTACAAGGACCGCAAAGAGCTGGAATCAGAGAGGAGGGCTGATGAGGAAGAGCTGGCCCAGCAGTATGAGCTGATAATCCAGGAGTGTGGCCATGGGCGTTTCCAGTGGGCACTCTTCTTCGTCTTGGGCATGGCTCTCATGGCAGATGGTGTGGAAGTGTTTGTGGTGGGCTTTGTGCTACCCAGTGCAGAGACAGACCTCTGCATACCGAATTCAGGATCCGGATGGCTAGGTGAGTGCTTTATGTCAGAGAGACCTCTCTGAAAATGCTTTAGGATCATTTATAAATACTTTATAAATAACTCTCATCTAGAGCATTGCATTTCTCTAGAAATTTTTAATGAAAAATCTTATAAATATATATTTTTTAAAAACAGAAAAAAATTGTATAGTAAGTACCTGTACAGAATCTTACCTGGGTTCTGTAGCTAACTTTTCTGATGATTTCTTCATGTTTTATATTCCATCAATACAACTTATCTGTGTGCTTTTTAAAGTAAGTTAGAGAAATGTATTTCAACCTACTCTAGGAAAAGTCATGTGCCATTTATGTGATACACAAATGTTACATATGCGTAGCTATGACATCACTAGCAATATAATCTTGTGGGTCACCATTATGAATACAGTCTTTTGTTAACCCACACACTAGTATTTGTCACATGGGTACTTGGCAGTATAGACTTGCATTGGTGTCTCCTTACTGACTTCAAAGGTAGATGAGGATGTAGTTCAGGAGTAGAGCACTTGCCAAGCACGAGCAGAAACCTGGTGTAGATCTCCAGCATCTTTATAGGAAAGTCAGTTGTTACTTTTCTAAATAGAAGTTAATGCTATGAAAGTCATGAATGTTGGTTTCAGATATTACATCTAATACTGTCACTTATTTTTAGAGCACTGATATTTTTTCCTTATGACCTGTGAGAATGTTTGCTTATTTTTTCCAATTAGTTTTTTTACATAGAATTTTCTGTATGTGATTTTAATTTTGTTTTCAGGATTTGTAACTTTATACCTAAGCTGGACAAACTTCATTCTCTAATATGATTTTAAAATCAACTTCAAATCTTATTAATAATTCAATGTGTGTGTTGAGATATGATTTCTGTAAGATGTCTAGACAACAGACTTGATTTTTTATATTCAGTTCCCCATACTCCCAAGGTTCTTGTTCTTATGGAGCTGTAGGTAAGTTGGAGAGACAGACACACACAATTTAAGGGTCCATGTCAGCTACTTAATACACTAAGTCAGAAGGATTTTTAAAATCCTCTTAGAAATTTTGCTTTGGGGTTGGAGAGATGACTCAGAGGTTAAGAGCACTGGCTGCTCTTCCAGAGGTCCTAAGTTCAATTCCCAGAAACCACATGGTGGTTGACAACCATGTCTAGTGGGATCTGATGCTATCTTCTGGCATACAGTCATACATGCAGATAGAGCACTCATGTGCATAAAATAAATAAATCTCTAGAATAAAAAGAATTCTGCGTCAAAGAACATGTTTGTATGAATGAAAGTCGTTACATGACTCAGAATCTATAAAAGAAATCAGAATACTACTGTCTATATTTCCAGGAGACTTCTACAAACTAGAAACTGAGAACATATAATTTTTTGTCTTGAAAAATGTTTAATTTATTAAATAATGTCACAATCATTGATGCAAAGAAATTGTGTGTGGCTAGATGCCACTTCTCAGCTTTCTCTGCAGCACAACAAGAGCTAATCACAGAGAGAAGGGCTGACATTCTTCAATTCCTTTAAGGCATTTCAGTTTTTAAGTTAGCTTCTGTGCATGCGTGCGTGCGTGTGTGTGTGTGTGTGTGTGTGTGTGTGTGTGTGTGTATTTCCTCCTGTGTAAATGAAAGAACTGAATCCATGAAAGCAGATTGTGAAGGACCACAAGTGGGAGCTGGTGAATAACTTCCATATTTTTTTGCAGATAGACTCATGTGTGTGTTCAGCCATCAAAATGCAGACCTCACCATGCTTCATGGGAGAAAGCTTGGCTAGTCATCAAATTGGTTTTTTTTTTGTTTTTTTTTTTTTGTTTTGTTTTGTTTTGTTTTGTTTTGTTTTCAGCAGATCTCTTGTATCTGACACTGTGTTTTGCTTTGCTGGTTTTCTTTTCCTTTGGTGGGCAAGTGTATCATCAGTATAAGCCTTGTTGTCCAGGAATTTTCAAGATTTTGCCAAAGGAATATATCAGTTGAATGTTTCAAGGCAGAACCTTATAATTGTATCCACATGGGTCATTTATCATTGCAGGCTTAAATTTGGAAGGGAACCCTCTTCAAGCTATGACACTAGCTTTTACATTGGAGCTACTACAGGAAAGCCCAGACTAGACTTGCCTTTCTCCTTTATCTTCATGGCGTTGACTGGAAACACAGCATTGCTTAGGGTTCTGTATCAGTTTATCACAGAAACCAGCACCGATGATGAGACACATCTGTAGGTGGCGTTGACAAGTGTAGATAACAATGCAGAAGAGAGATACCTGGGTTGTTTCATATGTCTTTGTATGTTGCCCACGCTAGTGAATTGGAGCTGCATCCTCAGGAGGACTTGTTTTCACTCAAGGGTGTGAGTCCCTGACGGAAGCGTTTTTTATGGTTTCATGACTCTGCCTTCCAGACTTGCATTTCAATTATTTTGCTATTGTAATTTCACTCATAATTGCATTCTAACAGAGTCTCTTTAGACAAGCATTTAAATTGTTTTGCCATTTTCATTTCATCAGATAATGGCTTTGTAATATAATTACCACACTAAGTCATAGCAATGGGATCAGAATAAGAAAAGAAAGATGCATGACCCATACTTGGTGGCATTTTGCGGATATGGATTTGCAAAATAAATTTTCATTTGCTACTAAGCATCATGTTCATTTTGTCAAGGAAAGCCAGGAACAAACTATGACCCAATTTGTGTTTTAATTATTTGTGGAGCTGATCCTCTTTTTGTGTTTGCCCAGAGACTGACGTAGGGTAACTAGGTTATACTGTGTGTCCATCTGTCTGTGTGCACAGATAACATTGTTAATTGGACTGGAAGAAGTAAGAGTAAATATTTAATTATCTAACGAGCTGTTTCTTGAAGGGATAAATGTTGTCTTTTTAAGGGAATTCACCCCCTGTTGCTATAGTCAACTTATTAAGCATTTATGGTGTGCAAAGCATAGTGACACCACTAGAAATACAGGAATGGAAAGACAGAGAGACGGAGAGGGAGGGAGGAGGTTTACCACTCTCAGAAACTAGTCTGTAAAGGAGAAATAGACATGTCTGCAGATTCCCAGGACAAGGGAGCAAGTGTTAGTGGCCAAAAGGGAAACCAGGCAAACTCACTAAGGGGCAGGATCCTGAGTGAAGTAGGAAAGAGAAGAGGGGCTACAGTCTGGAGGCTGTAGCAAGGATTAGCTCATTGATTCATTTGGAAGAGAGCAGTTGTCAAACCAGGAAATGCAGAATGCGGCTTTTAGCAGGAAGGAAGCTCCCATTTTACCCAGTCTCACTTTGAGGTCTTTAGGGAGGATTGAAATGTCCTTGGGTTATTTCTCTGTTGCAAATGAAGTGCCAAGGAGTTGGGAGTCATTGCATTTAAGATGACAGTGCCAGTGACCTTCGCCGGGGTGACGGTGGCTCTCTAAAATTAATGCTTAGTCTTAAAGCAAAGACAGAAACTAGCCTCAGAGTCTGGAAATTTGTTTCTTGGATGCTGCTAATGGCGTTGTGCAAACACTGAGAACAGGGTTACCAGATTTCATAAATTGGTGTTTAGGGACATGACCATAGAGCTTAGTTATTCCTGCCTTTGGTTACAGGGCAGTGTCCTCTCAGACAGCAGTCACCCTTCCTGCCCTCTGAGTGAATGCAGCTGAGGTGTCCTGTGGGGCCACAACTGGCTTAGTTCCCATCCCAAGGCTGGTGAGTAAGCACACTGCAGTCTAAAGCTGTAATGTGATCTGACCATTTTAGGTGCAGCCTTGCCCAGCGCCAGCCCAGGACAACAGAACAGCGCGCTGCTGGCTGCCCTTCCTTCCCCTCAGCAACAGTGGAGCTGACCTCTCCACCATAGACTTCCTTCTTCTTACACCTCCCTGGTGGATCAGAGGGCTTCATGTCCTTAGTTCAGCTGCTCCCTTCTTTAGGGCTTCCAAAAAGCACTAGGAATAACCATTATTGTGGTCAGCAGTGAGTGATACAAACTTGTTGGAGAGCTCAAAAAATACTCTTGACAACTGATATTGAATCGTTTAATAGTTAAGCATTCTGTATGTGCTCCTTTGTCCTTTAAAGGCAAACTGTAACTGCAATCTCTAATTCTCACATACAGGTATAATTTTAGGACATGAGTTTTAAGAAGCATAGTTGGAAAAAGAGAGGGATAAAGAAGTAAATGGTGTTGGTGAAAATGGAAATGCCCTCCCCCCAAGGATCAGGTAACATCAGAGACAGAGCATTTCAGACCCAGAAGCTGAGAGAGTGCCATGGGATGTCACCATTCAGACACAGCATGGCAATCGTGAACACAGCATGGCAATCGTGAGCACGCAGCAGCTATGGATACCGACAGGAGATCAGGCCTTCCATGCTTCCATCATGGATAGAGATGGCGCGCATGAGGCCACACCTCTTCTTGAGGCAGCATTGACTACTAAGGCTTGCTGGAAGAGGGAGAAACGAGAGCGAAGCTAATTGGGAAGAAAGGAGGGAGGAAGATTCACAGGGAAAGAATGGAAGATAAAAGGAGGCAATGAGGGATAATAGAACTCTTGTATATTGAGTATATGTATGAGATTGCCAAAAGTAAAAACAAATCCAAGATTAAAAGCACAGTGTGTGTTTATGGAAGGGGGTTATGTGTATATGAGTGAGTGCAGTGCCCAAATCATCCAGAAGAGGGCATCAGACTCCCTGGAGCTGGAGTTGACAGATGGTTGTGAGGTACCCTATGTGGGGGCTAGGAACTGAACTTGGGTCCTTTAGAAAAGCAGACAGTGTTCTCAACCACTGAGCCATCTCCCCCCCCCCCAGCCCAAAATAAATAATTTTTAAAAAGTGGAAGCAGCAAGGACATTTAATTCACCAGGCAGTAATTGAGCACCAGTGTGAGCAGGGAGCTTGTCTAGGTACATTGGGAATTAGGGAAGTATTTTGGGGAGCATTTTCTGATCTTTTCCACAATGTAACTTTTAATGAGATAAATTTCAGTACAGTGCCCTTTCTC